TCTAAAGTTTAGGGTCAAAATAAAATTATATCTAAAGTTCAAGGGCCAAATTAAAAATTAACATCTTTTAGCTAACATGTCAAGTCATCAAACTAATATATGTTAACGGATCAGTGTTCAAAATGTAATAACTGATAACATAAGTGACTAAAATTTAATAAATCGACAATATTTTGAATTTGGTGAGAAAAAATGTACAAGTGAACAATTCAATAGTTTACCCTTTATAATTTTAACCAAAATAACATGGATAGTTTGAGCACATGTAAAGGGACTAAGCGTATAATTTGATCATATTAAAATTATATGGATAGTTGCATGCGATATAATAGAATCACATAAGTGGTTAAAACGTCTATATGAAAATTAAAATGGTAAATGAACATTTAATGAATATAATATTTAATACCCATCTGTTGCCTATGAATTAAAATTGCTCGATGTACAACAATTAATGCACGGTTGTAGAGTATATGTATGGTTGCTAGTGTACAACATATTTTAAAAGTCAATTAAATTACAGTAGTTTATGAATTTTTATTATCTTCTTAAATACTTATTTTGAGTTTGGTGATGATGGCAAATTTCAAATCCAAGCATTAATTTCTTTCACAAAACAAATAAATAGCTTTGAATTTAGAGTTGAAACAAGAAAGTTTGTTGGCTAAATAATTTATATTATTTTAATTCGGAACCACGTGACAATAATGTGTTGTTAACGAGAGACAGGTCCATGTTTACAAACTAAATAAATTGGCATGCATAAATATAACTTGTTAAGGATGAGTGGGTAATTGTCCTTTATTCATAAATTTTCAAATATATATATATATATATAATAAAGTGAAAATAATACTATTAATTTGATTAAAATTTTAAGTAATTCCATTTAGTTTATATTTAAGTGTAACGCAAAGAAATTAAAGAATAATCGGTGATAGAATAATAATTTTGTCAACGACTCGTGCAAATCCCCAAGTATGCGAACATAAAATTTATGTGAATTCTCAAACACATGAAATGTATCTCGTTAATTACCTGTGATAATTATGTGTCAATCATTTGTTACCCCGTGAACGTCTCCTACGTATGATCTCCAGCGACCACGTATTGATTTATTCTATTTGTCCTATCAATTTGGGAAAAGAACTGTAAAGCATACAGGGAACTAATTTATTCTATTTTAGAGGCAAAAAATATAGAAAATTTGAAGTTTTGTACTATTTTCCCCTTGAAGATTGGATGAATTTATGTAAATAGATATTATTAAATTACAAATTTGAATTCTCAACAACACATATCTCATGCATAATATTACATTTAAATGCCACACGTTAGGTGGATTTAGTTGGTAATCTAGCCAGACATTCACGAGGTTTATTTTTTAAGCTAGTTTTTCCATATCCCTTAAACTTCGCTTTGTTTACAAACTTAAAATGAGGTATTAATTACTCCTTAATTAAGTATGAAAAAAATATTTTACTCTTTTGATAATAATCAATATTAATTAATTAGTTCTAATCAAATATTGTAAAATTTTTAATAAATCATTTTAAATTAATCTACTCTTCTCACAATATCAAAATTTAAACTCTAAATAGTATTTAAAGAACTATGACATAATGTATATAATCATTAATATATATAACTATTATTATTCGATTCATTAAGTGATTAATTTAAATTGGATACCAAAGAAGTCTAATAGTAAACCACTCTTCTAATTTAGTTTATTCTATTCATAAATACTATAACACATTGTTAATTAAAATTCTTATATATCGATAATGTCTCTAACAGATTTAGCAATTTATATGTTGCGTCCCGTGTTTTCTTTTCTTGTATCATTTGTGTAAATATAGATAATACGATATTCTAATATATTTATGATATTTATTATATCATTATTGATGAGGATGATTATAAAGAATAATATGTATTTATAATCGTTTTTAACCGTTAACAATGCATACATATTATGCAGACGCAACTATTCGAACTCAAGACCTCAAGAAAGAACAACAATCCCTTTAACCACTGAAGATACTCAATAAATTCACTATATTACTGATTAAACATATTATTTTTTTCATTTTTATGGCACATGTTCGAAATTAACTAAAAATTTATCTCAATACTTAAATTGTCTAACTTTCAATTTTAATTATTATTTAGTATATTTATTTTTTTAGTTTGATTTAATCATAAGATAATATTTATTTAAAATCTTTTTTAGTCATTAATAACATACGTACATTTTATAGATATAACTACTCGAACTCAAGATCTTTAGAGAAAACAATACTCTCTTTCATCACTTAAATTATTTAATTGGTTGGTAAGAGTATTAATTATAACTCATGTTTGAAAACGTTTAGTGCATGAGTTGACAATAAATTGACTTTATTTTATAATTTTTACCCACGGTATAATTTGGATAAAGTGAATGCATAAGTATAGTTAATTTGCATCTAACGTACGGGGCAATTCATAATTGATGGAAGTCTTCCACGGAAGTTGCTCTTAACCTAGCGTTGGGGACAGCCTACTACCCTACCTCCCCCTTACCTCATTTAATATGAGAATAGGGTCGTCTATTTTTTTTTTTGTACGGGCCAGTTTGAGAATGTTTCTAATAATGAAAAAGTGATTTTCTACCCAATAAACAATATTAAACACTCAAAATTTAATTTAAAATTATTGTTGGAAAAATTATTTTTAACATAACCTCATAAACTCAGGTTTATAGTTTTTATTGTGGAAAATCACTTTTGAGTGAAATTATATTTTTCCCTTAAATACTATATTTTCAATTTACAACATAATATTTAAAATGAAATTTTATATTTTCAAATCATTTTTTAACAGTAATCTCAAACGATTAAATTTTAAATTACATTTTCAACAATACTTTTAAAAGTATTTTTTACATCACTTCTATAATCATTTTTCAAAAACAATATCAAATTGTAAATTTCATTCAAATGTTAATTAATTCTTTCTCGTCAATCTTTAATAAAAATTAAGCAATTCTATAGTTTGGAGATTGGTTTATATATAGTTTTACATTACCATATTGTTTTTTGAAACTCATAGCTCAAGAGTAGTTCCTTATCCATATAATATATATATATATGCATATAATTAAAATAATAAATATACTTTGTATATTTGTTTTATATTGTCTATTTTTGTTAGAATAGATATTTACATTTCATTTTGCTTCTATTTTTATGTAACGTTTGTTACGTCTATTAAAAATGTTTTATCGAATAAAGATGTGATATTTTCTTTTCTTTTCTTCTTTCTAATTTTATTTTGCTATTCTTTCTTTCTTTCATTTTAAGTAAACGATCGTAAAAGCCCTGTTTACGTCCATTCAAGTAATCATCTCATTTATCATTAGCATCAAATTTGATCTATGCTTTTTCATTTTTTTTGTTAAATTTGTTTGTTTTTAAATATAAAATTTACAGTTTTTAAATATTTTGATTCCGAAAATTCATCGAAGCCCTAATTTTACAAAATTAATTTGATTATTTTTATTTTAATTTAAAAAAACTTAAAATATCAAATCTGATAATTCGTACGGCTTAAAGAATTCACCAATAAAATAATAACGGCTAATATTTTAATCGAGTTATCGAAACTACTCCATTAATTTAAGTTTAAATTTTATAATATATAATATCAGTGAACAGTATTTATATTAATCTAAAACTCACAAATCCCTATGAGATAACAGCATGGTTTTGGCTTTGAGTCAGTCGGTGTGAAAGGAGTTTCCCCAAGCACTGCCTTTTTAACTGCAAAAGAAACAATGGTAGTTTTTGCTGTCTCTTGTTTAAATTCAACGCACATTTAATATTATACAAACCAATCTTAAACATTAAAAGATTTGATATTATTTTTTGAGATATCGAATTCGAACATTACATATGTAAAAATATAAACGTTCATTGATTAAAACTAATGATTTTTTAAACATATACTACCTTATATTTATCTCAAATTTATAAAGAAAAATATTGTTTCCCCCTTAAAACCTATATTGTTTTGTTAGTTAATTAGATATTAATTTAATTAGAAAAAGTAAAAAATAACTTAAATAATAATTAATATTATTCTAATAATATATATTTTCATAATTTTTATATTTTTAATTAAAATAATTTAAATCCACCACTACGCTATAGATAAATTAGGTGTCCAATGATCAAATACAAGATTATTAATTAAAATCAGAATATTTGATGTTACGTTGTACCTATCAGGCGATTTCAGTGATAAAATAGAGTGTTATTCTACTTATTCTCAAGTTCGAACAATTATATATGCATGTTATGTGTGTTATCAACAGTTATAAAAGATTCTAAACATGTAATATCTCATATCTTGTAATCACTCTAGGCTATTAAAAATTATTGATTAATATTTTGGTCATATCATCAATTATCATACTAATTTTACAACGAATTCATTTAATTTCTATTATCCAATTTTTCAGACGTAGAAAGGTGTTTGTCTTTATTAATCGATTAATTCGGATTGAGTATTGTAAAGACCTAATATGGAGGCGATCCTCCCAACTCAGTTTACTCTATACGCAAATAACAGAATTCGAACCCTCGACCTTATTTAAGGGATCTAGTGTCTTATCCCACTAAACCAATCGGTTGGTGGTGGTGTTTACCCTTACTTTAAACACATGATCAACCAAACCATAAGAAATAAATATAGCAACTATAGGATATAAATGGTGTAGTAATGAGATTTGTTAATATCCTACACACCTGATCAGGAGAGTAAACCCAAAAAGAAAAAAAAAAGAAAAAAAAGACAGCCTTCTCTATATATCATATAATGCAATTATAAGTGTTACCCAGAAATTTTATTTATTTCTATTTTGTAGAAGTGGTTATTTTTCCCTGCAGCTAAATGCAGAAATTAATGGCAATTGCATTGCTTTAGTGTTTTAGTATAAACAACCCCCACGGAAAATCAAGCCTAGAGAGAGAGGAACTGGATCTATTCAGAAAAACCTGTAACCCAGATAATGACACTGCACTGCAACTTTTCCAACTCTTTCACCCAAACCCTAATCTCCTTTTCCTTTTTTCTTCCTCTTCTTACAACAACAACAATAAAAATAATAATATCCTTCTTCTTCTTTGGACTTGCAGCATTTGCTGTTTCTTTTCTTCAACTTTCACACATATAAGTAAATCAAGCATTGATGAAAAAAATCTCACACCAAGTTAATAAAAAACTAAACTATCTCAAACTGGCAAATATGTAAAGATGGAAATTGCACACTCAAGCTCTTTGATTTTGTTATTTTACCTTTTTGTTTTCCTTCAAGATGTTGGTTGGACTATGCCCTAGTCGGAGCTCTAGATCAAGATCTTCAATTGATGTTTCCTTGAGATTAATACCGGTAGAAGTGGTTGAAGATTCGGGTTTTATTGAGTAACTAAGAGAAGAACTATTCCACCCCAGAGATGTCGCTGGAAAATTTTTCGACGGTGGCGCCACCGTCGAGCTATTAGAAGGATGATATGGTGAAATGGAGAGAAGGGTCGAAGGTGAATCAAAGGAACATGCAGTATTAACAGGTGGATAAGCGAAAACCCCATTAGGGCTAGGTAATTGGTATAGGAGGCACAAGCCATTATTTGTGGCGAATTCTTGAGTAGTTGAAGATGGTGAGGCTTGGTTGATTAACGGAACGGTAACACCACCACCACCACCACCAACAGGTGGCTGTATTTGGTGGAGCCGAGCCCTATCACGGCGGTGCACGTTCATGTGACCACCAAGTGCTTGAGCTGACCTGAATTCCCGTAGGCAAAAAGTGCAAGTATAAGACCTAGGCGGCCAAGTTGTGCCCATGGCGTTCCCGGTGTCCTCGGCGAAGGCCCTGACTTCCCATGAATCATCAACCGGTTCATGGGATTGAGCGTTAGGGTTCCACATCCACGAGCCAGCAGTGGAAATAGAGTTATGGTGAAGAAGAAGATGATTTTGTTGGAATTGAGCTAAGTTTTTACGGTGGTTCAATGAGAGAAGGCCGAGCTCAGCAGCCATGGTACTGGAAACATTTAAGATAGGTGATAGAGATTTGATAAAGGAATGAAATGGGGGGAATGGGTTAAATACAGAGAGGAAGAAATGGGCTTAAAGACAGAGACACAGTGAAACCCTAACACCGGGCATATCACCCAAATCTTGTACCAAGCATTTGGATTTTTTGTTCATATTATATTTAATTAATTTAATTTCCCCACTTAACTGCCTTTCCTATTACTCTATGTTTGAACGGACAACGTCATACTTCGGCTGCAACGCCAAGTTTTTTTTATTGCTTCAAATTTCTCTTGAATTTCCACCTCTACAACTTAATATTTTATTATATATATATGATAAACTCTTTGAATATATAAAAATTAAAGGTATAATATTAAGATTTATCCTTGATATTTTTCGAAATAATCTCTTTAACTTATATTATTTTGAAGTATAGGTCTCAACGATTTCATTATGGTCAAAATGATAATTTTATGAATAAAAATCATTAGTTAACTAACAATCGACACTTGTTAATGATGTGATATATGTTATATCACTAAAAATGATTGTATATCATATGACATGTCACCAAAAGTGATAATTTTGACATATGTGAAAATATCACATCATCTAATAACATTGAAAGTTAATCACGTAAAAAACAGAATAATTTTGACAAATGAAACATTAAGGATTAAAGTGTTTCAAAAAGAAATAAGGATCAAAATGATTATTCTATAAAATATTAAAGTTGAATTTTGATATTATGCCAAAATTATATATATATATATATATATGCATATCTCTAAACAAGCAATTATATTGGTTGGATTGGTTTTAGATTAAGTCATTCTTAATTGGATAAATTTAGATTTTAAAAATCCTAGTTTTTGTTGTACCATTGTTTGCATCGTCGTCCTGTAATTGTTTGCCATCAAGTATTTATACAAGGACTTCAATTTGCTGTTCCATTGCTTAGCTAATAGACTCCTTACTAGAAACAAACTAATTAAGTAAACAATAAGTTGAACTTTTAACTAGTTTAGTTGTAATTAAGTTGATGATTAATATTAAATAAATTTCTAGCGAGTCACGAGGTTCACTTAAGGGTCTGGGATAACTTTTTGATGATACGTATCCCATTCATACATCATATTAATCAATTTTTTTGTCAATAATCTTTAGAGTAAGTGGTTAAAGGCTTTGAGTTAGCACCTCTCCCCTCTTTTTAGGTTTCAATACTCATCAAGAACAAGTTCCCCTATACCTCCCCTCCCTAGATAATAATTGTAAAAAAAATCCTTCTAATATTTTACTTACATCACTAATTGTCTAATTATGGTCTTAGATCCTATAGTTTGTTAAAATTTAGTATTTAATCCATTTATTTAAATTTGACATAAATTGATCCCTATATTTCCATAATATTTTTTAGGTATACATTGATAACACTATTAGTAAAAGTGATAACATGATTTTTTTTTATTGGAAACAAACTTAAGTATAATGTGAGTAATGTAAATAGTGAGGGTTATATTTAGGGAGTGTATTATTTATATTTAAGATGGTTGGAGTGTGTAGTTTTTATATGATAATTTTATTCCTTTAGTACTCATATAAAAGGGACAGTTCATCTCTAGAGATGCACATAGCCGGATTTAAATTCGATCCGGATCGGATAAAAACTGATCCGGTTTTTTTACCAAGTCAAAAAACTGGTTTATAAAAAAAACCGGTTCGGATCATAATCGATTTGGAGGGTCGGATGATGTAATCGGTTTCGGTTTGAAAAAAACCAATTTTTAATCCGGTAAAAAATCCGGTCATCCAATTTTTTAAACCTCAGACCTAATTTTTAAACCCCATACCGGATTTTTTCCCGAATAAAAAACTAGTTTTTTATCCGATTTTTTTCAAACCGGTTTTTAATCAGGTAAAAAATCCGGTTGTCCAATTTTTTCCAAACTGGCTATACTATCCGGTTTTAAAATATCTGATCCGGTTTTAAAAAAACCGGTTTTTCCCAAATCCGATTTCGGATATTTTTTGCACAAAATCGAATATTCAGATTTTTTGTGCACATCTATTCATCTCTATAATTTATGTACTATTTGATGATTCTATTATTTCGTTCTCTGAATTTTTTTTATTGAAGATAGCAATATGTAGATTCCACTTCTTCATTTTAGGTGTACGAGGTTTGAAAGATTATATTAATTTTAGTGGGCAACGTCCACTTTTGAGATTACATCAATTCAAACAAAATTACTTCTAAAACAATGATTTATATGTAGTGAATCATTATATTTTTTATTTTTTTATTATTTTATTATTACTTGTCAGTCAAAACTAACAATATTATTTTGTAGCAATACTATTTTTTAAGCAATTTAGAAGTAATTCTTTATATTGTTGCATTGTTAAACTCATCAACATTTCAACGGTGACGTTAGCTGGAGCTTTATTAGCAACAGATAAAATCTTAACAAGGATTAAATCATGGTATATTGACTAATCATTGAGTATGGATCATCTAAGCTTGCATCCAAGTGTTAAATTTTTTAATAGTCGGAGTGATTACGTGGTAATATTTGTTTAGAGTTCTTTTTAATTAATTGATAATACACACATATCTTATAAATATAGTTATTCGAATCTAAATCTCTAAAAAAAAATATTCTACCGAGGGCTATACTTTGGTCCACTCACACATTATTTTGTTTATATTATTATCTATTTTATGCACTTCTTTTAATTTTATTTAGTGCTCGAAACATGAAGTAAGTTGGTGACAAAAATATTGGGATTCAATGTCTAATTTGTCATAGGATTGTAAATTAACCGAGTCGAGTTCGAGTAATATTAAGCTAGACTCAACTCAAAAAGTATAAAATTAAGTTTGACTCGACTTAAAAATTCTATAACTTAAGATTTTTAAGCTCAACTCGAAATCAAAAATTAAAACTTGACTTGAACTCGAAATATTCTCAGACTTAGTTTGATTGAAGCTCAAACTCCTTAAGTACATGAAAGCCTTATATTGTAATTTAAAAAAACATATAAATGTTAATATTACTAAAATTTAATTAAAAAATCTAAAAATTTAATATATTGTTTTTCGAGTTGCTCGTGAGCTTTTCGAGTCGGTTATCATTTGGTTCATTAAGAATTCAAGTCGAGTTTGAACTCAAGTCAAATCTATTCGATTCAAGAGTTAACCACTTTAATCGAATCGATCTCAAATAACTCACGATTTATCTCTTCTCATTTACAACCTTGGTCAAGATTCTTTGCGGACAGATCATGTATACGCCATCAGATAAATTAACTAATTTCCTTTTATTATTATTATTATTATTATTATTATTATTATTTCGTTTGTTCTATTTTTTTTGGTTTTATGTAGGCAGTTATTACTGTAATAAAATTACACACGGACGAGCCAATATACAACCAACAGAAATTACAACCTAAGCCCAATACTAAAACAGCCTGAGAGACTTGTTGGACCAGAGATGTACATGCCAAATTTTAATTATAGGGATGGGAATACAGCCACTGGCTTAGGCTTTATCAATTTTTCAGAACTCAAACAAATTTAGTAGCAATGTAAACAACTCAATAAATATATAGTAAAACGTAAAGTTTTATTTGTCTCCTTAAGAAGATTTTTCTTAAAAAGTTTTTAAATATATATTTTAGGATTTTGACACTACCTAATCTAAAAGATCGATCTGATCAAATTTACGTTTTAAATCGAATTATCTTTCAAAAGTTTAGAATCTAATATACGAGTTTAAAGAATCGTTCCTACAACTAGAATATCATCCTTTTTATTGGAAACCAGTGAAATGAATTCATGTAGGCTCTTTAAGATCAAATGATTGATTGGTTTAAATTAGGCATATTGAATTTAGAATCGTTAATAAGTGGAGCTTAATCTTCAACATAATATTATGTCATAATTTTGTAGCTATCGCAAAGATATGATTATGTGAATTTTTTGTTCCACTAGAATAGCTACGCCAAAGGTGGAAATTTTGTATGATAATTGATAATGTATAACATTTCGAGAAAAGATATAAAAAGCAGGTCGTCTCAAAAGATGTATATGTTTTGTATTATATTTAAAAAATGAGGTTCTTAAAATATTTTATAATGAAAATTTATTTATCAGATTTTAAATAATGAGAGATCTACAAGATATTTTACCAAAATCCATCATAGAAAATAATTAAAGATAATGTTAAAATCTTCGTTTGCAACTTTTTATGTCACTTTGCTGAGAATCGAGTAGAAAGTTTGTTTTTCTTTCCAAAGAAAATGTCGTTAGGGCACAAAAGTTTATAGTTACGATGCACATGTGATAATTCACGATGCTTATATGTTAGTCCATGATGTTGATGTGGACCATCATATCAGCGTCGTAATTTTTAATGCTAGGTTCTATTGGTTAAAGGGTTATATTGATTTTTCCCCCAGAATTATATTGAATATAAAAAAATCAGAGGCCAAATTATTTTTTTGTAAGAGTTTGAGGGTCCCAAATACCATTAAACAAAAAATTTATTGTTAGAATGATTTAAACTTGCGTAAAATGCTTCTAGCAATAGAAAAGTTAAAATCATAGTTGAAAAAGTGATTTTTAACGTAATCTCATAAGTTCAAATTTTTAGCTTTTGTTGTGGAAATCACTTTCGGCTGAAATTATATTTTTATCCTCAAATATTATATTTTTTATTTATAATATAATATCCAAAATGGACATTTTATCTTTCTAAAATCACTTTTTAACAACAGTTTCAAATAATTAAAATTTAAATTGCACTTTTCAAAAATACTTTTATAAGTAATTTTTTACATCGCTTTTAAAATTATTTTTCAAAAATACTATCAAACTGAGTTAAAAACTTAAATCTCATATTTTTTAATTTTTACGTATCAAAATAATTTTAATAAAAAAATTGAATTTTTTAATATATTTTCAATTATTTTTATTTTTATTTTATAAATTAATTTTTATTTTTATAATCAAACATATCCTAAATTTGTTAATCACCCTATTTTTTTCAGTTGCGTGGAATCATGGGCCTTGTGGCAA